GCCGTCACCAATACACTCAGAGTCCTTGAACAGTACATTAAAATGCAGACACCCTCTCGTTTCCCTGTCTATAACCTCCGTGGTCCCCACTGCCTATCTGATTACCCATGAGTTGGCCATCAGTTTCCCATGGCCAGATCCTGACCTGTCTTCATGTTCTATACAACCTTCACATAAATTCTTTCTAAGTCCTCTGCTCTGATTCCTGACTGTTGCTGTGTCCTGGACGTGTGTCTGCCATCACCTTGCCTTGATGCCTTTGGCATGCTCTCCCCCCTTGCTGCTGACTGTGTTCTTCATCCTTCAGGACCTAGTTCAATTTTCACCCTAAGAAAGGCTTGGTGCCACATTGGAGTCCGGAACACCCAGTGTAGTTGCCGAGCTAATAAAGACTTTCTATTGGCTTAAACCCATGTCCAATCAGTCTTCTCTGGTGAATACAGCACAACAGCCCTGGCTGTCCTGGAATTCACTACGTAAGCAAGACTGGCCTGGAACTCACAGAGACTCACCTGCCTCTGCCTTCTGAGTGCTGGTCTGGGTGTATCTTACTGATAGATCAAACAAGATTTATTTGTTTGTTTAATTTGATTTTTTAGACAGGGTTTCCCTGTGTAGCCCTGGCTGTCCTGGAACTCACTCTGTAGACCAAGCTGGCCTTGAACTCAGAGATCCACCTGCCTCTGCCTCCCAAGTGCTGTGATTAAGAGCATTTGCTATATCATGCCCAACTCAAGATATATCTTTAATGCTCTTAAAATTTTGTTTTTGAGAGAACGTCTCATTCTGCAACCCAGGCAAACCTAGAACTCACCATGTAGGCCATCTGCCTACCTCTGCCTCCCAAGTGCTGGGATTAATGGCATGCACCATCACCACCTGGCCCAGTGAGATTTCTTAAACAGATTTCTTAACGGAGTAAACACTCAAGGAGAAAAAAACAAGAAATAAAGGCTGATAAGGAATCTGAAAATATCACACTGGGGCTGGGGAGTCAGCTCAGTAAGAAAAGGGCTTGCTGTCCAATCATCAGGATATGAGCATGATACTAGCACCCAAGTAAAAGAGCAGAGCTCCACAGCATGTGCCTGTAACTGAAGGGCAATGGTAGGAGGTGTGGGTGGGCAAGCAGAGACAGAAGGATTTCCAAAAAGAGCTCCATGTTCAGGGAGAGACCTATCTCAAAAAAATAAGGTGGATCCAGGACTGCTGGTGAGACCTTTAGTCTCACTTGCAAAGCATAAGCAAACATCTCCCTAAGGTCTCGGCTAGCCTGGTCTATACAGGGAGGTCCAGGACAGCCTGGGCTACACAGTGAGACAGAGACTATCCTTTAAAAAATGTGGAAAGTAATAAAGGAAGACTCCCAATGTCAACACAGCTAAGCACACCGGAATGCACATAGATGCATACATCACACATAAACTCAAAAGTTTTCAAAAGTCACACTGTATGCTTTAAATGGGTAAATTGTCCGATGAGTTTATTGTACAGCAAATATGCTGCTTTCTTAAAAAAATGCCAACAGCTGGGCAGTGGTGTCGCACACCTTTGATCCCAGTGCTTGGGAGGCAGAAGCAGGTGATGTCTGAATTCAAGGCCAGCCTGGTTGACAGAGTAAGAGTTCCAGGACAACCAAGGCTATACAGAGAAACCCTGTCTCAAAAAAACAAAGGAGAAGGGGGAGGGAAAGACTGCGCTGTTGGCAAACCTGTAAGACATTTTCTTAATTAGTGACCAATGTGGGAGTGCCCAGCCCATTGTGGGTGGGGACACCCCTCACTGGTAGTCCCGCTTCTGTAAGAAAGCAGGCTGAGCAAGCCACAGGGAGCAGGCCAGTAAACAACATTTTCCACGGCCTCTGCATCAGCTCCTGTCTCCAGGTTCCTGCCCAGACTTCCTTTGCTGGTGAGCAGCAATGTGGAAGCATAAGCCAAACCACAGTGAGTTCTCCATTAGTCTAGAATGCACAAGATCCTGTCTAAAATCAAAACAACCCCTTTCTATCATACAGCATAACTGCCGTAAGAATTCCTTCTGCATTAGCAACCATTCAAACATGTGAACCAACCAGCTGTCAGCCTTAAGAGAAAGCAAATTAACCCCCTAGGTATCTGCTCTGTAGGACCTCCTGAGAGGTGTTGGGAAGTGAAGCCATGCACCAGCTGACTGCTCGGCTAAGTCAGTGAACAGAGGTTTGATTCAGAAGCAGCTAGAAAAGAGCCATGGCACCCCACAAGGTTTATCAGACAGGCTGCGAGCCGAATGGATTCACAGTTTGCACTGCTGGTGAAAGTAGGAGCCCCGGTCCAAGTCCATAATCAACATGCTTCCTTGAGCTAACGTCACAGGGCCTCCCCAACCCCTGGCAGCATCCAACTGAGATTCCAGAAAGTCTCCAACTCAGGAGTTAACAATCGCCCCTGTCAACAGAGCAACAGAGGACAGAGTCCATCTAGCTGGCTCCCTGTCTTCGTGTTAAGTTTTATTGGAACAGAGCTATGCTCACTTGCACTTGGTAGAGTAACTGTGACAGATTGTATTGCTCAGAAAAGCCCAAGACTCTATCTGGCCTTTTCTGGATTCTACACTGGCGTAAGGTCCCCTCCAGTTCCCCTAGCAATACGGCAAAACCCAAAAAGATCTGTTTCTAACTAAGATAATACCAAACCTGGCAGAATCAAACTACCTGCCTAACACTCAATGTACTTCAAAGAAAAAAAAAGCAACATAATCTCCGAAAGATAGCATCCATCGTGTGACATATTCAATTAAATACTGCATGACAGGTGAAGCAGCAAAGGGTAACCAATAACAATAAACAGCAGCTAATAAGACAGGCTGTGGGGTAACCCAGATTTCGAGTGTTTAAAACAGCTCGTCTGGGGCTGCAGAGATGGTTCAGTGGCTAAGCGCACTTGCTGCTCTTGCGGAGGACCTGGCCAGTGAAAACTGTCTGCAACTCCAGTTCCCAGGGATCTGACTCCCTCTGGCCTCCTCAGGTGTCTGCACATATGTGGTGCACATAAATCCATGCAGGGATACACACATGCACATAAATAAAAAAATCTTTTTTTTAAGTGTTAATGTTTACTGGGTGTGTTGGCACATGCTTGTAATCTCAACCCTTTGCAGAAGGCAAAAGGGCCGGGAATTCAAGCCCACCCTACATAAGACATTGTTTCATAAAATAAAATGCAACAGTTGTTAACAAAAGTGTGTTCAAGCACTTCTGAAGCTGATGAGTGAATGGCTGGGAAATCTGAACAGGGAAATGGGGCATGGGGTGGGGGTGGGGTGCCAGGCCCAGTAGGATGGCTCACACCTCTCATCTCAGCACAGGGAAGGCAGAGGCAGGAGGACCAGGAATTCAAGAACAGCTTGGGCTACACGTAACAATCCCCGCCCCCAAAGCCAAATAGCTACATGGAAATTCTAAAAGTTAGAACAATATATATGAGGCTGAGTGGGATTCTCAGTTTTATGTTTTTGTCTTTGTTTTGTTTTTTTCCTCTTTGATGCTGGGGATATAACTCCAAACCAGGGCCTAACCACTGAGCTACACTCCCTGCCCCTAGGCACATCTTTCAGAGCTACAAGGTGGAAAAAAAAAATCCCACAAATGAGATGATATGCGTCAGACATACAGTTTGGGATGGCAACGTGTAAGGTAGAGAAGAAATGAGTGTCTCTGAGCACTTACCTGTTTATGGTTTATGCTGTTTTCTTTTGTGTGTTTGAAATTTCTTGTATTAAGAACATTTCAAAATAATAAAATCTAATCTTCACACGAACAGGCTGTTTTAAATGTAAAAGATTATTCAAGTGATGCTCTGTGCACATATAATGATTGACCCATCTTTGCCAAAATCTCTAAAATATGTAACACAATATTTTGAATGCTCTGGAGAAGATGGGCATTTCATAAAAACTGTGAATAGTGTATGCCATTTTCTGGATGCATTATAAACTTAGATACCCATATACACACAAAAACATGAGTATCTGATTTCACAAAGGGGGTTGTATTAAGCTAAACTGGGCAGTGAGGTGGCTCGGGGGTAAAGGCGTTTTCCACCAAGCCTGATGACCTGAGTTTGATCTCTGGAACCCAGATAATGGAACAATTCCCACAAGTTCTATGACCTTTGTATGCTCTCCTTGGCATATCCTTACACACTTACACAATAAATAGACAAACAAATACATGTGATTTAAAAAATAAATTAATTGTCCCACAACTTCCTTTTTCCAAATAATATATTTTGGGGACACCATTTCATGTCAATGTCAACCTTTTTTTTTTTTTTTAACACATCCTTAGATACACAAATATGTTGGTATCTGATTTCACAAAAGGAGACTGTAATAAATTAAGCTGGGCTGGTGAGATGGCTTGGAAGGCATACAGTAAGTATATTGTATGAGTATACTATGAAAATATTCACCTCCTAAAACCGTTCCAATGTGCCTGGCACTTAAGAAGTCCCTCAAGTCGATGGTGCTCCTTTTCCCTCGTCCCTGAACCAATTTCTGAGTTCCTTCCAGGAAGGAATCAGAACCTAACACTAATTCAACAAAGATTCACTACAAACGCATCTGTCTGGAATGACCCAGACATCATTAGTTCTCTTAAGTCATCACACGAGTAATCACATTTTACAATTTTCTCCAAAAGTCATGCCAATGCAACAGCTTTAAACCGAGTGTTCAGGCGCATTTTACAGTCGTCGCTGGTCTATATGTTTGTAACACTAACCACACACGCGAAGTTGGGGAAGAAAACTTCAGGCAACGACCCGGCAAATCTCAAGAGCTAACCACTGAGCGACATGATCCAGGTAAGGAGTGGACAAACGTGTCTGTGCTTCTGCAGCGTGCAAATGTGTAAAATCGTGTTGCGAGGGTCTGACTGAAAGTTCGCACTTGGCGTACCAAGGCCACGCACAGATGTATCTCTGGACGCGCAGCCCTGGAGCGGTCGTGTTTCGATCGCTTACCTCCGCGGACGAGCAGGTGGACGCCGAAGGGCGCCGCCATGTTGGCTCCGGTCACGTGGACGGGAGAGCGCCTCGAAGCCCCGCCCACTGGAGGAGCAGCAGCAACCCAGGTCCGGAGGCGGCGGCGAAGCGGCCGGAGGCGAGTGCGCGTGCGCGCGTGAGAAAGCCCGCGGGAACCCGGGCTAGCGGGTGGCTCCCGTGCCCAGGCCAGCAGCTCAGCCGCGGCCAGCTCGCTCACACCGCGAGAGGCTGGCTCCGGCCGCAGCTCTCGCTCTGAGCTCCCGCGCCCGTCTGGGATGGAAGAAAACTGTCAGGTAAGTTGTTGGCCTCCAGTGTTGATAGCATCAACCTTTTGGTGCGTGGAAACGTGAAGTTGGGCGGAAAAAAGAACACAATTTAGTGTGCAACCTAGCCCTTTCACCATCTTCCAAATTATTTCCCGGCAATTAGTTGAAAGGTAGAATTTGAATCAAAGTGGTCAGAATGTCAATTAGTAGGCAGAGACTTCGGGATAGGTCAGCTAGGACACCTGTGTGCCCCAAGCGAGTATCTTCAGGGGATTTCTCTTTCCCTGATGACACTTCTGGCTTGGCAGTACTAGCTGATGTTATTCCTAAAATCGACATTTAAAAGATGACGCTTTTTGCACAACCAACAGAGGAGCCCTATGAAAAGCCAAGCGAGGCAGCTGAAGTATCTTCGATGATTCTGTTGCCGGTTTTCACCCTCGTTCTGCTGTGCCCGACACAGAACGTGATAACCCAAGGTGTGTATGGTGAAGAAGCCCAAACTGTAGTGTAGCAGTCAAGATGAGTAAGGATTCCTTGGGAATGTGTGGATGTCTTTCAAACGATTTTTAAGAATCCACATGCTCAACCGACGTGGTGGTACGTACCTTTAATCCCAGAACTCAGGAGGCAGAGCCCAGAGCATCTCTGTGAACTCAAAGAGAGCCTCATCTACATAGTGAGTTCAAGACAACCAGAGCTACAAGATAGACCCTTTCTCAAGACAAAACAAAATACCAAAACAACAACAAACAAAAGAGTTCACACATTCAGTGGAAAGTTGGACCATTCAGAAATGAGCAAAGGGAAAAGCACAAGCCCTCCCCCACCTCAGCTTACCACAGACCTTTACTCCAGACCTCCTTGCCTTTAAGTGGAGTCATGGCCTCTTAAGATCTGCCCTTTCTACTCACAGTAAACCTCAAATCTGAGAACACTAATCCAAGCTTGCTTCTTTGTTTGTTTGTTTGGTTGGTTTTCGAGACAAGGTTTCTCTGTGTAGCCCTGGTTGCCCTGGACTTGCTTTGTAGACCAGGCTGGCCTTGAACCCACAGAGATGCTCAAGCCTCTGCCTCCTCTGCTCCACCGCACTTTCTTTTTGTTTGAGAATTTCACACATGCATATAATGTGTTTTGATTAAGTCCAATGCTCACCCCGCCACCTCCCAGGAACTCCCCGAAGCCCTCTCCTGCACCTCCTCTCCATCTCTTCCACCACATTTCCCTCCCAACTTCATGTGCTTTTTTTTTTTTTTTTAACCCTCTGAATCCACCAGCATCAACTTGAATGTAGGGCCATCTACTGGAGCACAGGAATCCTATCGGGGCAGAACCTCCCACACACACACACACATCCCAGTAGCCATGTTGAGATCTTGGCTAGCTAGGTCTTAGGCATAGCCACTGTGAATTCATATTGCATTGGCCCAGCTGAGTCACCCACTGTTTCACAGCAGTCATCCACTGCCCCTGGCTCTTAGAATCTTTCCCTCTTAGGATTCCTGAGCCTTGGAGCAAGGGAATCTGATATGTATTTCATGTATAGAGATGAGCACAGTCTTTTATTGTTGCATATTGACCAGTTTTAAGTCTTCATATTAATCTCCTGTGGCACAAGGAAGTTTCTCTCATGAAGGTTAAGAAGTGCACGAATGTATGAGGACAAAGATAAGAATTTAGGGTGCTTAATACCATGTCCACTAAGCAGAATAATAGTGTATTCTCCCCTAAAGTCTGTGACCTACACAGCCATGCTTAGCCTAGTCAACAGTACCATACATGAGTTTTGTCTTGGGCCTTAAATCCAATGAGAAAGTGACTAGTTGCTCCCATGACATTCATGACACTCATCCAAGCCGGACATGATTGCCGCTTACAGAGCTCACAGCTGTTGTTTACTTTTCTCCCCCAGTTTCACGAGTCATACCTTCCCGCACTATGAAAGAAATATGTTCTTGTAGGTTCCTTCATGCTTTATTACTCACAAATTCTGATCATTGCTGGGGAGAGGATTTCTGAATGTGCCATATGTGACACTGACAACCCACCTGAGGGGTAGCATAGGAGCCTGACAGTTGAGCACTGAGCTGGGAAGTGTGCAGAAAGAACTTAGAATCGATAGTGAAGCGTCACAAGGTAAAAAGCCCAGTTTCAAGTATCTGAAACAGAAGAGTATGTTGGGACTTGTGCTGTGTGTTCTACTGGTAATTACTGACCCCCAAGATCTGACTGCCGCCCACACCAGCACATTCTCATGCATGCCTATCTTTGTTGTGCAGTCCTTGCTCTACCTAACTGAAAGTTGATTGGTTAATAAAAATACTGAAGCCTGTAACTGGGCAGAAGAGAGGTAGGTGGGGTTTACTAGGCCTGGGGTCTGAGAGGGACCACAAAGCAGGAGGAAGGAGAGGAGAAGCAGAAGGTGTAGCAGGAGGAGAGGAAGCCAGAGAGAAGAATGTCACCATGGGGCAGGATGGGCTAGTTCCAGGCCATCCAATGAAGCCCTGTCTGGAACAAAACATGTTTGCCTTGCTATTGATCAGTTATCTGAAAAATAAATAAGGAATAAATTTCTCTATGCATGTTCTTCAAACACTAAAAAACATTCCACCCTTTCCCTTTACTTCATATTAAAGATTGATGCATGCTCAGTTTGACCTCACACATACCAAGAGCCCCTGTGCAACTGACGTGCAAGTTCTTGACGCATTCCCTATTTTTAGTTGAGGGGAGAAGGAAAGAACATATTCAAAATATATTGTATGGAAAAAAAATTAAATGAAAAGGAAAAACAGCAATAAGTGAATGAATAATACATAAGGAAGATTTATGATACACACATTTTTTCCCTAAAGTCATATGTAATTTGTGATAAATTTTAGCTATACAGGTTTCCATACTATTAAGTTTTAAATGCACAAGGGCTTGTGAGACAAAGTAAATCTTCTTGGAAGGGCACAGTTTAGAGTTCATATACTTTCTAGGATTATCCATAATTCATGATATGTTTTTTTAAACCTTGACTGTAAAGAGGGCCTATATTAATTATATCTGTTTGTTATAAACTATCATGACCAAAGCAACTTATAGAAAAAAAGAGTTTATTTGAGTAGAGTCCCTCATGATGGGGAAGCATGGCAGCAAGCAAGCAAGCTAGAGCAGCAAGCTGGGTGCTCACATCCTCTACCCCTAGGGTGTAGTGGAGAGAGTGAACTGGAATTCGAAGGAGGCTACACAGTCTCAAAGCCCTCCCCCAGTACTTCCTCCAACAAGGCTGCCGCCGCCTAAACATCCCCAACAGTGCCACCAACTTGGAATCTGCTTTTCAGATGCTCAAGCCTATGGGAGCACATTTCCCATTCAAATCACCACAGGGGCAGAGGTACAAGCTAGAACTATCTGGGAAGAGGAGCCTCGGCTGAGAAAACGCCGCCTCTGTCAGATTACCTGTAGGCAAGTCTGTGGAGACAGTCTCTTGACTCCCCTGGGCTGGTGGTCCTCAGAGCTGTAAAGAAGCAGACTGAGCAAGCCAGCAAGCAGCATTTCTCCATGACCTCCTGACCTTTGCCTCAGGTCCCTGTCTCCGAGTTCCTGCCCCAACTTAACTTCCCCTCCTGGTGGCTATAACTGTCAACTGAAATAGACTCTTTCCCCCCCAGGTTGCTTTTGGTTGTGCTGTTTACCGTAGCAATACAAAGCAAACTAGGACAAGATTTACAAACATTTGCTAATTTGGACACACTGAAGATAACGAATGCAGCATGAACTGGTCAGCCAGCAGAAGTTGGTGGCTAGGGACGTGCTCAGCTTCCTGGGGCTTGTTGTCTAGACCGAGGTGCCTTCACTCTTTCTGACCCTGCTTCCCAGCTTTGCCCTCTGAATTTCCCCCCTGAAAACTTAGCTTTCTGATTTGATTTCAGGTTAATTTCTTAACCTTTTACTCCGTGGCTTGAGGAGAACATTTCCAATCCTACCCTTTAATTTGTCCAATTTTAGGATAAGGAAAATGCTTTATTTATTTACATGTTTTAAGCCAAATGAGCATTTCTTTCCATGGACTAAAAGCGCTGCATAAACATAATCTTTGTACATTACAGAGGCTGCTGGCTGGGCCCCTCGAAAAGCTGAGGTTCTGCATTGAACAATTATGTGTTAGGGCAGGTGGTCTCTGGGGTACTGTCTTCACAAACTAGTTGGCAGGACGTCATGAGTCCTCTACCAGCAATTTCAGATAACCATGTAAATATTACCAAATCATCCACAAGTCCTTTTAGAGAAAATAGGTAAATTCTCCACTTTTCATAAAGAAAGCCAGGCCATGTGGGAGGCAGTTGTGAAGTGGGTTTCTCTCTGTTATTTGTGTTGGTCCCTCAGGGCCAAAATGGGGTACAAGGACAGGAGAGGAGCTGCAGTGACAGACCTGCCCTCTTCATTTTCCATGCCACTGTCTCAGCTCCAGAGTTGCTATGTGAATGAAGTCTCAGGAACCGGTTCTGCTTGAGCACCTCCCACGGTGGAATTCAGACAGTTTCAGAATCTAGACATTTATAGACAGGAGATCAGCAGATAGCTGGCCACCTTCCCTTGAGCATCCTTCAGGGAAAGGGGGCCAGAATGGAGCCAGACAGGGTGTCTTAGTCGGGTTCTATTGCTCTGAAGAGACACCATGACCACTGAAATGCTTATAAAGGAAAACAGTTAATTGGGCCTGGCTAACAGTTCCAGAGGATTAGTCCATTATCATCATGGCAAGAAACGTGACAGCACACATGC